TGATTTCTTTTTATTTACTTTTGAACCACTCCACATTATTATTATTATTATTTTTGATAATTTCATATTTATACAGCATGAATTTGTATATAAAATTATTCATTATTTAAGGTTCTTAAATTTTAAATTTTTATGTATTTGGGTTAAATAGTTTACATATTTGTCTTTTAAATATTAATGTTTTAATAAAATTACAATAATATAATTTTTTAAAAATTTCAAAACACGTATTTTTTTCCTGTAAAAAATATTAGATATATATATATATGTATGTAATATGTGAGATGTGAAACAAAAATGGAGGAGAAAAGTCAGCAATGGTCATTATTGTTAGAGATGGCTTGGTGGGTGACACCGAGGCATGTAGGTGTTAAGTGATTGGCCCTGAATGTTGGGTGAAAGGCCCACACAGGGAGATTGCAAAGTGCTTATATATATATATATATATATATATATATATATACGCACACACATATATATAATATGTATCATAAATGTATGTCATGTAACAACAGGTTGTTCTAGTTCTAGTCCCCACATTAGCATTAAACAACGAAAAGCACTTTTGGATCTTCACAATTCAACTTGTGTATACATTGAAAGCACTTTTGGGTACTCACAAAACCAACTTATAATTCACACACACACACACACACACATATATATATATATGTAAGTATATATTATACATGTAACATATTCTTTTTCAAGTTTCTTTTATATGATATATACCCATGTGGGCTATCTACGGCTATTGTCTTGTGCCTATCACTCTGTTACCCTCTTTTTTTTTTTGACACATGACTAATTATTATAATTCATATATGTGTTTTTTAAGTTAAAAAATATATATATATATACATATTTTAAAACTTTTTGCCAAAAATAAAATTAGAAAGCTAAAAATCAATTGTTTTTTAAATATAATTTTTTAAAAATAATTATATGTTTGTTAGAAGTAAATATTTTTAAATGAGAATAGTTATTAATTTTATATTTTATTAATATGTAAATTTAATATTTTTAAGAATAATTAAATTACATACTTAAAATAATTATCCTATGCATGGAAATCTAGACCCACCAAAAATCTACGAAATCGGGTCCTTCAGGCGCGGAAATTCATCGCCGGCGGATCATTAGGGTCCGAAAGTTCTCATATGAGTTCGGGTTATTCAGGCCCAGATTTTCTCAGTTATGGTCATTTCAGGTCCAAATTATCTCAACTCGGGTCATTCAGGTCCCACAACCAAATTAATTAAAATAACCCGATTTAGTGGGCCCCCCAAAATCTCACAAATCGAGTCGTTCAGGCCTAAGGATTTTCTTAGCTTAGACCACTGAGGCCCAAAACCTCTCCGCTCGGGTCAATTGGGTCCGAATTTCTCGTCCGAGTTCGGGTTATTCAGGCCCAAATTTTCTCAATTATGGGTTTTTAGATCCAAGTTATCTCAAACTCGGGTCAGTCAGGCCCACAACTAAATTAATAAAAAATAATCCGATATAGTGGGCCCCTTCAAAATCTCACAAATCGGGTCATTCAGGCCCAAATATTTTCTTAGCTTAGACCACTGAGGTCCAAAATCTCTCAACTCGGGTCAATTGGGTCCGAAATTTCTTATCCGGGTTCGGGTTATTCAGGCCCAGGATTTCTTTCAACTCTCTCTCCGGGTTATCTGGGAGAGGATTCTGTTCTGCAAATTTGAATGGTCATTTGGTCTTCGGTGGGCCAAGTAGGAAACTGGTCTCTCCCGCCACCAGAGCCCCTACATCCATGGCTGCTCTTTTTGCTCTTCAGTGCTTCTCATCCTCTTTTTCGTTTCCGTCATCTTCCCTACTCCATAACCGGGTTATTCTCCCTGTGTTCTTGCTTTCATTTCATTGAAAAACAAACAAGGATTTGTAAGATTTTGGAGTTTAGTTTCAGGCTATGTTCTTTAATAGAGATTTTGTTGCTGTCTGATGTAGAGTTCTTTGCTTCAAAGATGGAAACCTGGGAATTTCTGGATGCGGAATCTCAAGTCAGTTTCTTCAACCACTGTTATACAATGGAAGAGAAGGTAATTTTCATTAGTTTGATTTTTCTTTCTTTTTCTTTTTTTTTAAATGATGTTGCGTGAAATTTCTTAGCAATTCCATTGTCATGTGCTCTAAATTATTCTCGGTGATTAGTGAGTATCTCTGATTGAAATGGGTTTGAAGTTAAGGATTAAGTGAATGATTTTTGTGGTTGATGCAATAATTTCAATGATTCAAGAGAAGAAAAGTGGAAAATTTTTAACAGTCTTTACGAGTTCAGTTGTCATATTTCATTGCCACACTGGATTCCATCATTACAATGATACGTCCATAGCCAGAATTACGTGTTTTGGCTTATAAGAATAAGACAATTCTCATTTAGACATCCTGAATAACTGTTTAAAACAATTTTTTTGATCATTCTTTACCATCTTCTGTTGGGAGTTTCTAACAATTCATACATATGATTCAATGATTATCTGTGGTTCTAAATGCTCAATAATCACTTTTAAGTTATTACTTTGGTATTCTTGTAACTAGTGGATGGAGGTATGAATAATAAACTGTCATCTTTCGATCTAATAAAACAGGAGAACTTTGATATGTGCAGTCAATCAAGACGCTGAGGAAGCATTCAAAAAGACTGTAGAGGTGGATAGATTGATAGATACACTCAGAGATGCAAATCCGAAGGAAGTAAGTTGGCTGTACTATGCTTTTTGTTGGTTCTTACTGTTATTTGTTTTCAGCTTGATGTCTCTTTTAATTGTAAATTCAGAAAAGAGTAGCTTTTCTCTTGCTACTCATATTTTTCGTTGTCATAAGAATGCTGCTTAGTCTGCTTGTTGAATGACCTATTAGGTAAAGTGAAAAATGTTAGTTTTTCTTGCTTCCTTATTTCAGCATATCTTTCGACTAGATTTTGCCAATATGTAATTTGACCATGTGATATTATTAAAGTTTCATCCAGAAAATGATTTAATTATTTTTCATCTTTTGGGCCTTAGATTTCAATAAATTTGTTGGAATGGGATGATATATTTCTCAGAGAAGATCAAAACTATGATCTTATATTGGCTTTTATGCAACAAACTAGAGAATTTTATTGTCAAATTATCCAACTTCAATTCATATCCATCAAGTTCTGCATGATCATAGTGCTTACTAATCCTATTACTGTTAGCACATTCTCTGGGTGATGGTCTTTTGTCTGCTAAATGTGGGACTTCCTCTTTGCAACTCTTAATTCATCTTTAAATACTTTTAACGCGAACTCATTATTTCTTATTTAACTTATGAACAGCTTGATAAGCTTGTTGTTGAAAATATACTTGCTTTCAACGAAGGTTTTTGGATACGACTTGCAGCAAGAACTGATACCTGCAAATCAGAAGATGACAAAGCACGGTTTTTGATTCAGTTTTATTTTTTTTTTTACAAAAGGTTTTTGATATTTAGTGAGACTATCCTTTTCAACTTTACATCTTAGTGATTTTCTTGGCATTTATATGCTTGCAGAAAGATTATGAAGAATTGGCTACATCTGTGATGAGCATAGTGGATTGTCTTGTCCATAAGACTCATGTCCCCCCTCCTCTCTCTCTCTCTCTCTCTCTCTCCACAGATGCACAAACACTTTCTCTTGCTCTTTCCACAGAAACACAAGACAACAGAATTTGGTCTTTCCCTTTCTTTTTCTTCATCTATGTAGCGTTTTTGACACTTCTGCATCTTCTGCAGGAAAAGATAGAATCAGCAACTGATGTTCTCAAGGCAATTCTGAAACCTGTAGTTGATGAAGTGGAAGAAATTCAATGGCCTCCTAGAGATCCCAGTGCTATCAAACTAATGGAGAAAGTAAGCTTTTGTTTCATTTTGTCTAATTTGAATTTAGTTCTATTCAAATTTGCAGTTGGAATTTTTAGACCGTAATGTCCTTGATTGTTGTCCCTTAGTTATATGTTATTATTTATACTAACTCATAATTCTCATTTTTCAGCTTTTAGTTGCCTTTCCTTACAATTGCATTTGGTTCAAATATATCATGTCTTCATTCAAATTTTATGTTTTAGTTATTTTTATATAAAATTAATCATAATTTATATATTTGATCCATAATTAAATCAAATTTTATTCATATTTTTAATTTTATAACAATGAATTTATTTTTGAATAGAAAACGTAATCCTATAAGCACCAAGGAGATGTAACCCGTTTATAAAGAATTTAAAAGTTTAGCAATCATATTCTTGCTTAAATACAGAGATTGTCCCTTAATCAAAATACTCAGAGCTTGGAACCAAGAGGTCATAATTAAATCAAAGTTAACGCCAATCCCCTAAAAGGGTCATCTATTCCCCTCTTTAAAAATGACCCAAAAGATAGTCAAAAGGAAAGTCTAATTGTATGCTTATCACTTCTGATGCCCCTCCACACCCATAGATCCTCTCTCATTGTGCATGGCATGCCCAAACGGCTATAAGCTAAAGTAGGACACTAAAGTAGGATATGGTTACATGTCATTGTGTCACTTTTGCATAAGAAATGTCCATTCATCCTAATTTCGCCTCTCTTGATCAACTTCTCGAAAGTGAGCAAGTATTCTCACACTACTTCCCTAGCAAAGAAAGTCACTCTAGGAGCTGCCTTCAACGTCCACACTGATCTCCAAGGAAACTTCCCTTTCTCTCTCCTACAGTGATTCAGAAAAGGTAGTAGGACTTGACCAAGAAGAGACCCTTGACACATAGATCCCCAAGTCGGTTCATCCTTGCTTCCCCCATAGAACTCACTCCGAAAGAGCACTGAGTAGCCCCATATACTCCACCTCCTAATCATTCAAATTTCTGGCCAGGTCAATAATCCAAACACTACAGCTAAGATGTGCCTCCTTTATTGTGATGTCCTTGTTTCACACAATACTGAAAATTGAGGGGAACTTTCAGCAAAGAGTTCCTTCTTCCATCTAGTAGTTCCTCCATAGACTCATCCACTTTCCTGACCCAATTCTCCATCGAATGTAGCTTTTAAAGGCTCCCTTATTCTTAACAATCCTCTTCCACAATCCAACCCATACGTTCCCATGTAAGTTTGTGTACTGCATGAACCTCTCCACCCTAAATTTTGCACAATCCTTGTCTCGGGCAACAACAATGAAATTCTTCGTACTCTCTAAGAAGTGAATTACAGACATTTAACTTGAGTTGATAGAAATTCACTTGGAATTAGACTATTATTTTCATTTAAGTTTCTGTCCTATTTGCATTATATTATCATTTCTATTATATAGAATTAGAATTTGATTAAAACCTGATGGTACAGATATTTAATCTTGCAACGCCAACAAAGGTAGCTTATGTTGAATCCTTTGATAATTCTAATCATGGAGCCTAATCTACATAAGATGAAGATTCTTTCTTTTTCACCTTATCGTTTATGATTCCTGAATCTCCTTTTCCTTCTCTTGAAATAGGGATAGAATGGTCATCTTTGAAATCTTTCTTTAAGATTTATAGCTTATTCTGGAACATAAATGGGCATAAATGACAGTTGTTGCTATATGTCTTGTTTAAGAGTGCAGTAATAGATTGTTATTCTAATTGATTGCTAATTGATATATATGCATCCCTGTTCGCCATTTTGAGCACCAGGAAATAATCCAAAGGGAGAAAGAAGGGCAACTTGATGAAGGTTTCCTTTCAGAAGTTAATGCTCAGCTGCGACAAGTGAGCTCAATATAGTTTTGTGTTTCTCATGCTTTGACAACTGAACTCTTCTTGCAACAGTATTTAAATGGTTTTTTTTTCTTTGGGACTAAAAGTTCAAATATAAGTTACCATTTTGTTAGTCCTTGTCAGGCGAAAGAAGATGCAGATAAGCCTGGACTTGAAGCAATGTTGCAAAAGGTTTTGCAGCTTTATGCTTCTATACTTCTTTCAAAACGGAGTTATGCGAAGAAAGGTAATTTTTCAACCATTGCTCTGTTCATATGTATGCTTTACTTGGACTTTAGGCTCGCAAATTATATGGATATTTGGAATTTGTAGTTGGCTAACAAATTTAATATGAAAGTAGGACAACTAAAATGGTTTTTTGGCCTCAAAAAAATAGTGGTTCAAATGCTTTTCTTTTTCTTTCTCATGGAAAAATTTGCATAATTTTCATTCATTCAGGGAGAAAGAAACAGGGAGTAAACAAGTCACTCGGCAGAGTTTAGCAGGAGCTCATATAGGGCTTATTGATCCTTAACCAACAACTTCATTTATATAGAATACTATAATTTGTCAGCAACCGCTTATGTAGTTAAATCTTTCCCTTTGGTGGTGACTTTTTTAAACTTCATGCTGTTGATGCAGGGAATGAGATTTTGAAGGCAGAGCAATTTCTTGAAACCATGATCAAAGGTGTCTACGATCTCTGTTGTTATTATGCTTTACAATTGCTAACATATGAATGAGCTATTGCTACTAATTGCATAGACATGTTCTACACTTTTCCCCTTCTATATTTCTTTTTCCCCATTGTTGGTGAAGCTGTATTTTACAACAGCTTTTTAATGGAGAGCTGCCTTTCCTCTGAAGATAGCCCCAAATTCCTGGTTCCAAGTCTTATTAGTTATTCCTTGTATCTGAATCTTTTCAATATGTTTTCTCTTTCCGGTTTATAGAAACAATTCTCTGCATGAGTAGAATGGTGAAGCCCGAAAAAAAATATTAAGTTTGTTTAGGAAGAAAGGGAAGGGTGGCTTTTTAGCAGCAGAATTAAGCTTATATGGTGCCTATCAATATCATGGTGAGTATACAAGGCCCAAAATGGCTTATAACTTTGCTAAGTTGTTAGGCCTTGGATATGTTCTTTTTATTTGCTACTGGGTTCCAATTTCACTTTAAACTAGGAACCAATATTGGAGGTTATCTTATCTAGGCTAGAAAAAACAGAAGAATATGGTTTTGGTCCTGGATATGAAAATTTGAATAACTAACTCTAAAGTCTCTTTGGTTAAATTCTCATTCCAATTTTAGCTAATTTTCATATGTTTCATGATATGTAAAATTACAACTTGATTTTTATGAACTTTTTTTCATTTTCATTTTTTCATTTCAAATAGAAAACAACTATTTGTTCCCTTACCGTGTGCTTCAAAGGGTCCTTGGTAATCATGTAAATTCTTCTCTTCCCTCTTTCCCACACCTCCCCATTTACTGTTTTTTTCTTAAAAAAAATTCCAGCATACTCGGATTAGTCCTTGAACCTGGGATAAAATTTGGTACATGATCCATATATACATTTTTGTATTCAATGTCCGGTTGGCCTCTGTATTAAAGAGCAAAAATGTTGCCCTGACTGAATGACCTTGGCCAACTCCTTGACACAACAAAAACAATCTCCTTTAAAAACTGGTGGAAGAATCTCTTGATATGATTAGTATCATCTCTTATGATTAAAATGAAGATGTTCCAAAAGATTTGCCCATGTTGGAGAGTTTGTAGCAATTAATATGGCTGACAAAAGTCTTATGATTGCAGCACCTGAAGAAGAATGGAACAGGCTTTTGATAAATGGAATGACTGTTGCCAAAGGAGAAATTTCACTGGAGGAGTTATCTGCTGTCATAAAGAAAAGAATCGAACGAACTTTAATCCGAACAGTAACACAATCGTCAACTTGGATATCTGATGATTGACTAATAGTATTTTCAGTTCTTACCGGTGACCTGATATTGCCATTTTCTTTCCATGTTGTCATCTTTCTTTCTCTCAGGAGGGAGGTTCGTACCAGCAGCGTGTTCTTACAGAGTATCTTAAAGGAATCCAATCAAGAGCAGAGGAGATTGTTCAATTGCTTGAAGGCAAGCCACAGTAAGTATCTGTGAAGAACTGAAAGCGATCTATACAGTCTGGTAAAGCAGGTTCATCCAAAGAACTTTGTAGAATCGGAATACGAATAAACTAATACCCTGGAGAACTCGAGAGGTGAGAAATGCACATATGCTCTTCGTTATATATGTATGCAGAATCAAACACCTCCAGAACAGCCTTTGAATAGTCTACTGCAGCTTCGATATGCCCTTTTGGTGACTTCACAGCATCGATGATTCTTCTTTGTTGTCCCGGATTATGCCCTTGTTATTGTTGTATTCTATGTCGTGGCTATGGTGATTTGTCTCTGATGAGTAAATAGCATTATGTATAATGAGTTCAATGACATTGCCCTGTGCTCTCCAAGTGAACTCTTCAATTGTCATGTTATTCAAAATCTCAAATTATATTGTGTATAATCCTGTCTAATATATGTGAGTATTTTTGGAACAAATGAAATATAGAATTTATTTTATTTTGAAATTAATTTCTTCTGGTGAATTAAATTATAAACTTGTAAAAATAATTTATGGAAATTAATGCATTTTTTAGTGCTTCCTTGATTGATTTCTTTGTATTTTAAGAATATATGTTTGTAGTTTCTAATTATTTTAAAGAAGTATCATAACTTGTAAAAAATATTTATGTATTTTTTTTTTACTATCGTGCAAAGTGTAATATTAACTATTTTTTAAATAAAATTAAATAATGATTTATGTATTTATTATTTTTTTTGTACTAAATATATATTTTTGTTTTTAATAAAAATTATTATAAAGTTATTTATATTATTTTTAATATATATTTTATTAATTTTTTTTATTAAGTTTTTTAAATGAAAAACTTGTTATGTAAAAAGCTTTTTATTTTTGTAAAAAAAAAATAATAATTTTGCTATTCCGTTACTTTTTCTTTTTACCAGTCGAGGGATTGAAGTCCAGTCCCATTTTTCATTTTCATGTTACCAGACGCTAATGAAATTCAGATCTAAATAGCGAAGCTCAAAACCCCTCCTCCCCGTTCGCTTCCTCTGTCACCTCCCGATTTCTCCTTCTCTGTATCTATACGCGCAGGCTTGCCATTCGTCATTGCTGATGCAATAGTGTGTTTTCTCGATCTCTTCATGTGCTGATCGGATCCGAGGTAAAATCTTAATGTATTTCGATTAAATCTCAAATTTTCATGTCCGAATTATTCGATCTTCCTTGGATCTCTTCGCAATTGAGAATTTTACTTGATCTTGTTTGCTCACGGTGACAATTTTAACCTCACGACGAGGTATTTCTTTTCTGAGTTTTAATTCGTATTTCTTTTGATTTTATGAGAGTGGTTGTTTGGTAATGTGATGCGTTGGTGATTTGGTTGTCCCTAGTGTTTCTATTTGGGATTTCCGGTGATTGAAGAAGATGTTGACGAAGTTTGAGACGAAGAGTAATAGAGTTAAGGGACTCAGTTTCCACAGTAAGAGACCATGGATTCTCGCGAGTCTTCACAGTGGTGTGATCCAGCTGTGGGACTACCGAATGGGGACTCTCATTGACAGGTTTGATGAGCACGATGGCCCCGTTCGCGGCGTTCATTTCCACAACTCGCAGCCGTTATTTGTTTCTGGAGGTGCGTAGTTTCTTCTCCCTCATCTTTTTTTTTTCTCTGGTTGGAGTTCTCTTTGTTTTGCTTTGCAGTTGCAATTTGCGAGTGCTAATTTGTTAAATGATTTAGGAAT